CCCCGGCCCCCCAGGATGGGGTGCGGGCAGGGGCGCCCCGGCGGTGCGGCATTGTCCCGCGCGAGGGAACAACCTGTGCTTGTCGGGATTCCTAGAAACGGGGGTAGCCTTTCTCTGAATCTCGACAGAGAAAATCAATCACTGAAAAAATGCTTCGGTCGGTGCCAAGAAGAAATCTCAAGGATTTGCTGTTTGTTGGAAAGTGCTGCCAAAAAAAGAAGTGTTTTCAGGCCTGCTGAGGCAGTAGAGAAGCCGATTCCCGGTGTAGGGTCTGGGCCAAGCACAAGCAGAGTCGATACGAATTTTATCGCCTGTAATCGATGAGCTCTGCGCAGCACCGTGGGGTGGCTTCACGGCGCACCTGCAAAAAAGCTTGCGCTGCCAGCGAGCAGCTCCCTTGGGCATCAGGAATGAATGGCACAGCGCTGAAACGCCTTTTAAACACCTTTTGTGTAGACCTGTCGCCCTAGAAATAATTTTTTTTAATCAAACTTTCCCATAAAACGTGGGGGGTCTGAGTGTTCCCTGCACTGCAACCGGCCCTTGGCAGCAGGCAAGTGATGCTGCATGCGTGAACCTGGCGGGAAATGCAGTTCCCCGAGCGATGCGTACCGAAAGGCCGTTCTCCTCTTTCCTTTGCAGTTCTCGGTGTGTAATGCAAAGCCTAGCGTAACCTGAAGACGGTGGCGGGCGGAGGCCCAACATGCCGTGCCATGCCAAGCCATGCCGTGCTGTCCCTACGCCCACCTGGCTGGGCCCGTGTTTGCAGAGGTTTAGGCAGCTGAAAAAAAATGGCAGCTTGTTCCCCGGCATGAAACATCATCCTTTGCCTTCACAGGGAACCTGACGCATCTTCAAAACAGTCAAACGACCGAACGCTGCGGTGAGTCATGATGTGTTAGCCGTGAGTCACCGTGGGATTAAAATAACTCTTGCACCATAACTCTCCCCCTGGACAAACACCGTCGCTCACTTCACTGCAGTTGGTGGTGCTGGGCTTGACCAAAAGCGAGTCGTGGGCTGCGCTTGCGGAGCGGTGCTCCTGTCCCAGCCCGTCCCCACGTGGTGGAGCAGCCAACGGGGACGTTCTTACACCCTCCTCCCCAGCCACCGTGCTTCATGTTTGCAGCATCTTGGTTTTTTGCCATGGGAATGCAGATGATGGGACATGTAAAACACTGGATCAAGTTCATCATGGGTGTAAGCAGGGATAACCTTACCGAAAACCCTCTGGCACGGAGAGGGCACCCCAAGCCCAGCACCTGCCAAGGGAAAGAGCACAGTAACATTGCCCTGGAACAAAAGTCCCAGACAAAATTAAAAAACAGGGGGATTTGAGATGCATCCTCTATTTCCTAACATGACTGAAGCCATGCAATCGCATTTAACTCTGGTTTCTTTGCGGGTGCTCCTGCCACACCATCCCCATCGAGCCTGGCCTCGGCTCCCGCTGCAGTCAGCTACTGGGTGCTGCCTTCCTCCTCCTCTTCCTCTTCTGCACACCCACCCGGCTGTTCCCACACACCCTTGGGGAGTTGGGGGAGCCACTGGTGATCCCGTTTCTTTGGCACCATGCGAAGGCTCATGGCCCCTGGCAGCCCCTGGAGCAGGCGCAGTGGTCGGACACAGCTGAGTGACTGGTTTCGCACCGGCGGGGCTCCAGGGACCTCGGTGGGACGATGCCTGACACGCTCCGCTGGGGAAGGAGCTCACCCACCCAGGCCCGTGCCGACATGAATATTTCTGTGCCACTCTCACATCCCCAGCTGAAGAGACCTCGGTGCCTCGGCGTGCAGAGCCAGCAGAAGATGCTGACCTGGTCTCTGTGCCAGATAAAGCAAGGAAGCCCCCGTGTAAATCAAGTCATTAGACGCAGACTGTTCTGTAAGCAAATGAACAGAAAGGAATGAGACCCCAAGCGATGGTGCAAAGCCGAGTGCCGGCCATCCTCCGCCCTCCTCGGTCAGGGAGCGGGGCCAGCGTGGGCTCCCAGGGCAGGTCGGCCCAGCTCCTTCCCTGCTATTGAATTTCCAAACAAAACCATTTGCAAAATGATTTGAATGAAGCCCCAGCTAGCTAACTACTCCAACACCCCCATTTTGTCCTTAAAAACTTTTCGCCTCCTTCCTCCACACCCTGCACTTGCAAAGGTGGGGAAGGTGCTTTCCCGCTCACCCAAGGATGGAGCAGCCCGGCCGGGGGCCGGTGGGAACCCTGGCTGGGGCAGAGCCTGCGGCGTGCACGGGGTGAGCAGCTCCCGGCGCTGCTTTTCTTTCTGCTTTGAAAACTGCCCAGAAATCGGGTAGCTTCTTTTCACAGTGTTTTTCTTTCTTTGAAAACAGGAGTGGGAGGAGGGGTTGTATGTTGGCTTGTAGTCTTGGAAACCGAAGCCGAGGAATATTGAATGGAAACCCAAACATGAAGCTGCCTATGAACTACAGGCCTGATGTGGAGATAGGATCTGCAGAAACAACTCGCGCTGGCTGCAGCCGCTCCGGAGCCTCCTACGGCCGAGCGATGCAGGGCTGCGGCGCAGAGACTGTGAGACCCTGCGCGGCTCTTGTACGCTGTTCAAAACAATTCGCGAGTGCCATTTCCATCTGGAGATTCAGCTGGTAAAATAGGACACATCCACGC